CTATATCTCCATCTATCTGCAATTCTTTTGCCGGGCTTATATATACTAAAATAGAGGGCGTCTGGCAAACACTAGAGTTGCCAGGAACAGCCATGATCCTTCTAGAAACTCATGACGTGTTACCAGAGTCACGTGACTTCCGTTGTCGTAACAATATTTAGGTCTCACGAATTGGATTCTGACTGAATTACATTTGCACTAATTTTTTTCCTTCCTACTTTACTCCGTAAAATATGCAAGAACCAATCTGAAACTATGTATACATTTTTTATATTGCATCCATCTTTTTAAAATATCACTTGGTCGATCATGTCAATGACGGCCTGTTTACACGCCATAATTAACAAATAGTCCAGTTTGTAACCCATCACACTCAATCGAAGTCTTATCTTCATCCAAAAATGATAAATACTTTCAAACTTAATTCACATATTCACTGTTTTAATAATTACAGGATGAAGCAGTCCTGTACCAAGATTTCTAGAACGTGTATGATCTTAGCGTTTAAATACAAGAATTAATGATTAGCTCAAGTGTGCAATCAATTATAATGTCAAACAAATTGTCCCTTCAATAAATTGTTTTTGTTTTTTCAATAATGTCAATTTTGGGAAGCCTAAATCATTTTATTTCCTCCCAAACGATCCAAGGCCAGCTGCCTAATGCTAACTTAGTGATGCATCTTTTGTATGATACAATCTACCAAGGATACAATCTACCAAGTTAGTGATACATTTTTTTGTATAATACAATCTACCAAGTTAGTGATACATTTTTTTTAATAATACAATCTACCAAGTTAGTGATACATTTTTTTTAATAATACAATCTACCAAGTTAGTGATACATTTTTTTAATAATACAATCTACCAAGTTAGTGATACATTTTTTTTTTATAATACAATCTACCAAGTTAGTGATACATTTTTTTTTATAATACAATCTACCATGTTAGTGATAAATTTTTTATAATGCAATCTACCATGTTAGTGATAAATTTTTATAATGCAATCTACCAAGTTAGTGATAAATTTTTATAATGCAATCTACCAAGTTAGTGATAATTTTTTTATGATACAAGCTATCAATAACCATGTTAACTTTATCACACAATTTGTTTATTATGAGAAAGTTAATTTATGAAAATAAAATACAAATATGTAGAATGTAATCATCAAATAAACTTATCACACTATTATTATTCAAGGTCAGACGAATGGTATGACTATGACATACAGATGCTTACTCTTACTTCTAAACCAAAGTTAAGAATATCAGATTCCATCAATACTGATGGTCAAGGTCAATCGTGGATTCAGCTAAGAAAGAAGTACTTCATTAGTTATTGGCTGCTCACAGTTAATCATTAGATAGAAGATATTAGAAAATAAGGAATAAAATTGTACAGAAATAGATGGTCTAAGATGTCACCCTTATAAAAACGTTCTATGTGAGCATGAAAATATTTATATTACCATTTGGTGACAAACCCTGTATAATCTTTTCTAAGATACTGGTATGTAATCACTGTTTTATCCATTATTTACAGGAAGTCTGTTGTTTCTCAATGTTGAGGCTTAAAGCTCAAGTATTTTTATTAGTGTGTGTGCATCCATCCATATATATACACGTGTGTGTGTTTTAAAAACACAGCCAATCGAAACTTTGAAGTATATTCTCATTCTCAAAGTGAACATCTAAACAAGATATTTATTTAAATGTCCTACATACTCAGGACAACAAGCCATCAGCTACTACAGTTGACCTGATTTACAAATACAGACATTCTGATGTAATAAAAGGGTTTCATTACATGTCCTACTCTTTCTTCCAGTAGCTTTGTGATGATTTCTTTACCAACAGAACAAGCTGTGTACAAGGCTACAGTGTATAATCTGCTTAAGTAAAAAAAAAACTATAAAAAAAAAGGAAATAAGATTTAGCTTCAACAAATTAATTCTTAAAATCTGAATAAAAATTATGAATGAGCACCAATAGTATGAATGTAGAATCTGATACTTTATTTTTCCTTAATTCAACAGTATGTTAAAATAATTCACCAAACCTTTAGGACAAAATAAGTAGTAGGATTTACCTCACAGAGCTGTTCTTAAGAAGAAGAAAAATAAATAAACTAATACAATAGTAATTTTTTCTAAGCCTATATATATATTATTACAAAACAATACCAAGTTTACTAAATAACACGAGCTTTATTCTGTATGTTATCAAAATCACACCACTTTACAGATGCAGAGTAAACTAAATTGATATTTTAAAATAAATAGCCAACTTTCCATATTGTGTACTAAAGTAGGTCACTCAGAACAAATATAATTAGATCCTAAACAAACTGTGTACTGGAATATGACCTCTTAATAGTACTAGCAGTAATACTGACCACCTTAAGAGAATAACTTCAATTTCTAAGGATTATGTCTTGTGTAAGTAACAACAACATACTAGTTTTACCCCCCCCCCCAATTATGTTATGAATATTAACCTGCTTGGAAGTATTACTGTTAACATAAACATGCGTCTTGCTTAAGTAAGCAGCAGTTTTTTAATCGTCTGCAATTCGTGCTTTTGCTGATGCAATGCAAGCTTACTGTATGTATGACTTATAAAACACCCGCACGTGGCA